TTAACCAAAATCAAAGTAGACTATCACTCACCCACACCAGATGGAAAACTCTACAGACTGTCGGTTCACACCCCATCACAAGCCAGCAAAACATCCACGAAACAAAGAAAGGTCTGTCACAGCCAAAAAATACACTCCTGACATATATATATATTCCCAACCAGCTCCAATTTATGTGTGGGGAGCGGCACGTGCTGGATTGAACATACATTCCATTTGCCTCCAGATTCTGAATCTGAAACAATCCCAAATTGGATGGACTTCAGAACATAGTAAAACACTTGAAAACGGGCCACACCATTTCTCAGAAAAATCGGCAAAAACATGGTACGCATCGTATTTAGCTAAATCACTACTCATAATTTTTTTGTTATGAATTATTTTCGTAATTTGAGAATTCGACTTATTTTTGGTAATCCATCATTACATAATTCTATCATTCTGGTAATTCAAGGACTTTATATTTTCGTTTTATATATCTGAAGAATATCTGAAGAAGAGGAATGTGATGCAATGAAACGTTGCGAAACGAAACCTTACAAGAATTGGACCACTAGACCCCTTTTTTTATTTGTGTATGTCATGTCTATGGAGAGGCTGTTCTCAAAGACAAGCTCTTCTTTTGACTTTCAGAATTTCAGAATACCGTCTTTTCAACTCTTTTGTATACAAAAACTGAGAAATCCCCAGACAGATTGTGGTATTTGCCTCTGATTGAAGTCCCCCTGTTGATATCTGACGATTTGCAGATTTACCCCGTTTTCGCTCTCTTATAGCAGAAGGCAGCCAGGCCCTTGGTCATGCCCCCATACTGGTGGGGGTCTCAAGGAAGGTAGGCAAAGTGAAGCATGCCTCTTGAGGCTTGAACCCTTCCCCTTCCCGTCCCCCTTTCCCTCTCAGTCTCCAGGCCCCTCCACAGTTGAACAGTTTTTCTTTTTTCTTTTTTCTTTTCTTCAAATCAGGGCTGTGCCGGCAACAGGCTGGTTGGACCGGGCCGGATCCAACCAGGCCGGTTGGACCACCGGAATTCTGGTTGGGCCCAAAAGTGGGTCAATTTTTAAATTTTTCTTTCACTTTTTTTTTTTGAAAACATGGTTGGACTGCGCTCGCCGAGATCTCCCCGAATCCGCAAAGAAAACTTTGAGCGGAGAAATTTGTTTTTTTTGTTTTTTTTTTGGGGGGGGGGGGGGGGGGGGGGGGGGGGGTTTTTGGGGGGCTGGGAGTCGGGGGTTGGGGGGGTTATGGCGAGGGTGTTAGTGGTGGGGTTTCAGCAAGTGCGGGCTTCAGCAGACATTGACAACAACGTACCTGGCTTTCTGCAAACGTTAACCGTCCGCCCAAAAACTTTGAAAAGGGGTGTTGGTGGCAGGGTAGGGACGGTACTTCCCACCCAAAAACTTTGAAAAGGGGGGTGAAGGTGATAGTGTTAGGGGGTTCTTGTCACTGCTGTCTGGTCCAAGTTGCCTTCGATACTGGTAGGGTGATGGTCCCGAGTGCTGGTCACACTGAGGTAGGATAGTAGGGATAGGGGGTGCGCTGGGAGCATTAACGTGGGGAAGGGTAGGGAAGGTGGCCTATCCTGTCAGGACCCAGCGATCGCCATGGGTCTAGTCCTTAGCCTCTACAACACCCTGGGCTTAAAAAAACAAATAATAATAAAAAATAAATAAAAAATAAAAAATAAAATTTGATGCGCTACACCCAACTGGGGGGGGACCGGCCCAGTCGACCGGTCCGGTTCCGGTTGGGGAAGGGCCCCCCGGTCCTACCGGGTTTGCAGCACTGTTTTAAATTCCTTTCTTTTTTCTTTCTCCCCCCCCCAAAAGAAAATAACAGGTCCTTTTGGTCCTGGCTCCATACGAGAGTCCATAGCCATTCTGGGGAGCCTCAGTCCAGTTCCTATTCCCCCAGCAAGTTAAAAATAGTAAGATACATCAATCACACATGCACCCGTCAGCTTTGGCTATTCACATCAAGAATCTCAAGAAGGCATCCTTTCTTCCCATCCCACTTTCGGGAAGAAGGGTGGCCATGGCTATGGTGGACCTCATGTGATACCTGCAGTAGAAGAGGGATTCAGACATTGATTCTGGTTCAGCCATTCAACATTATTATTATTATTTCTTGTTTGAATAAGAGGGGAGGAGATAAGGAGGAGGAGAGTGTTGGTGAAGAAGAAGGGAATTCTCACTAGTGGTGTACATCTTCCTCGTCTTCTTTCTTCCATCTTCTTCTTCTTCTTCTTTCCCTCTCTCTCCTCTCAAGTTCATTCGTTTCTTTTTGCAATTGGACTGCTCTGTACTTTCTCATGAATGTGTACTTCGAAATTGGCCAGGATCATAACAGGGGAGTGGTGTTAGAAGGGGGGGGGGGGGGGGGGGGGGGGGGGGGGGTGATTGAGGAGAAGAGAGGAGACCCAAAGTTCTGTGATCTTATTCCTGAACCAGGAGGCTTCAGGGCAGGTGAGCAGGCAGTCTATTAGGTCTTCGGGAACGTCGTTAGAGCACATTGCGCACAGATCGGTGCTGTGAGGGTTGGAGTGTTTTCTTCTTTCGTGGAGACACTGATTGATGGGCAGCACCGCATACGCTAAGAGCCATTGCATGCTGTGAATTTTGGTGGGTTTGATGGATACGTATTTTTTCCAGGGGATCCCGAAGTCTGCATTGGGGTCTAAAATTCTAAATTGAAGAATTTTCCTCCATCGCTTGGTTATTTCTGGTTTTGGGTCTGTTGTCTTTAGGCCCAGTTCGTAGCCGAACTTGAAGTTGTACTCTTCGTGTTTGCTCTGAATTCAAAGCCACTCTTTGGGGTCGAATTCCAGGTCCAAGATGCTGAGCTCTGGTCCTAAGACTAGTCATGGCATGCCCTGGGACGCTCTTACGTTTCTAAGTAGGAGTGTCTCAAGGATTTGCTCGATGGGGTTCTCGCTTAGGATCTCCAGTTCCCCAGGAGTATGGCTTGCAACAGTGTAGGATATGAACCTCGAGCAATAGCTCGTGGTGTCCGCACGACTCACAAAATGGTCGGCTTTGGCCGGCATTGGTTGTGTGATTGGTAGCCCCCACTCCCCCGATTTCCTGGAGAACTCCTCTCTTAGTTACTCTACCCAGGGAACGGGAATACTGCGTTGAATGAGGGCTAGGATATCTGCTAGGAAGTGGCAGCCTTTCAGGAGATTGTGCATGTCTTGTTCTGTTTTCCACCCCTTGTGTTCTTTTGACCACATGCGTTTGACCTGCCAAACTCCTTTTTCCACCCAGGAGAGCCATCTCCGATCCTTTCTCGATAGGGACCAGGGGAGACCATGTTTGTTTGATGTTCTTCATTCCATGGAAAGCCAGTGGTAAGTGCACAGCATTTGTAGTGTACAATGTTTCGCGCAGTGAGTGCTTAGTATGTCTCGTGGCTTGTCGTCATCATTGCTAAATAGTAAATACCGAATGAGGTATCTCCTCTCCGCTCAGTTTGCGCCGCCTAATGTGACTATACGGGCTCATTGATCGAAACTTTGGAAGCATGTATCGATTACTGATTGAGGGATGTCCGCTCCCATTCTCTTCGGGTGAAGACGGTAGTATGGTGTTGGGGCAGTACTGCAGCGGACGATATTCACCTGTGAGGGAGAGCTTTATGCACAGTGCAGTCTATCAGAGAACCAAGGGGAGGATGCAGAGGCCTGTACTTCAGGACAACCGTTAAAATTGGAATGATAGAGAGAAGATTAGTGTGGCCCCTGTGCACACATAAATCAAGAAATGGTGCCAAATAAATGGGGAAAAAAAGAGGAGGATGCCGAGACCTTACGCCACGCCACGTCAGGCTGACCCTGCTCAAACCCCTGACGAACCCAGAACGTGGCATTTTCAATTCTGAAGTTTGCCCGGGCGAGGTACTGGTGGTTTAAATCCACATCCCACGCCAAATAGGCCTGCTTAGTCATGCTTATGGACTTCTTAAAGTAGCACTACCTTTTCCCATGCCGGCCTCGGGTGGGCCTCCGATCTTTTAGGAGGCTGAAACGAAACGACGGCCGCCGATGAGATTTATCAACCGCGGCTGTCGTCGGGCCCTGCCCCCAATTTTTTTGGAGTATGGGAAAACTGGCAAACTGCCAGTCGTCCCATTTTTCGCAACAGTGGGCAAGGTAGTGGTGCCTTAAGAGGACCAAGCCAAGGCCAAGAAACATTCTCTGTTTGTTGCTGCAGACCACTTCACCAAGTTCGTCAGACCGCTACCGATGAAGGGATACGACAGGTTTTGTGTCATCTGATCAGACCTGATCAAACTACCGTCTTCAACAAAAATAGAATGCCCGATCATTATAGCTGCATTTGGGGCAACTGTCAGTTCAGATGCAGTGAAAACGACTGTGCGTTCTATTGGGGTGAAGACGCTCTGCTTGAGACCATGGCTGTGCAAGCGGAGCTGAGGACACTGCATGAGCTGCAGTTCGGGTGGAAACGCAGCATGCCTGTTTACTATTAAATGCTATTTGGCTCTGGATCAGCACCCCCAACATCATGCTGACATATTGAATTTCACCAAACAGTTTGTACATGAGCTCTGGCAAGCCATCAAGGATATGCCAAAGGTCCATGAGGGTCATGGTTGCGCATAGGTCAGCAATGACTTAGCATGGATGAACTCTCAGAGGAGAAAGGTGTTTCGAGTAAGCTGCACAGAAGCAGTATGGACCATCGGGAGACTGTGCGTGTGTAGAAGATGCCCCTGAAAGACCATCTTACCTGCTTGATGTCCCACTGCATGTGAAGGCGTAGCCCGTCTTCCTCGAAGGATAGGTGTGCAGGCAGAGATCGAGAGTAGCACCCGGCAAGGGAGGACAACCTTGCAAGAACTAGAGGGTCGAGCTTCTCTACTGCCCTGTGGACAAAGAGGGTGAGTGGACTGAAACAGCCCCAGAGGTGGTTGCTGGATATGAGGCAGATCTCTGGGAATCCGATGCAAATTGTTTGCTGAGACTGTGTCTGCAGATTGGCACAGAGGAGGTGGTGTTCTCAGAGAACTTTGGGCTCACCGGGTGGAGGGCTGTTGGGCAAGGCGCGGGCACCGGATGGAGGGCTGTGGGGCGAGGCACGGGTGTGGCCCTGAGGTGTTTTGTAGGCCCGAGTCTCACTGGGCCGTATCTTTTCTCATGGCGAGTATCAGTCCACCCCGCAGGTCATAGCAGTAGGTTTGTAGGCTATCTACGAAAATTTTCTCGTCATTCAATCAATTATTGATCATTTTGATGTTCGTTCAAAGCCGCGAGGGAAGAAGAGTTATGCCACTCGCTGTGAGGGGTGTGATATGGCGCAGCCTTGGCACTCTTATATATCGACTCTGGAGTCTGTACAGTATTGTTAGCGTTTCGTCGTTTGCAAGTTCCGCGGGGGGGAACTGCGACCTGCAGTGTGCTTCATCAATCGAGTCTGCACCAAGTTTGTGTGTGATTGAATATACTTGGTGGATGTGTGGATGCTATGAATGAAGGTTGGGAGTGAGAGTGGTCTACGAAGGGGGGAGAACTGCAACCTGCAGTGTGCTCTGTACGGCTCCGAAGCACGTAGAATAGAGAGCCGTGTGAAAAAAAGAAACGGAAAGAGAGAGAGAGAGAGAGAGAGAGAGAGAGAGAGAGAGAGAGAGAGAGAGAGAGAGAGAGAGAGAGAGAGAGAGAGAGAGAGAGTCATATGATAGGTGACTGTGTGGTACGGTTGAGAGAGGACTACCGTACTGCTGGCAGGCACGTTTCACTCAGTGGGGAAGTTTCTCACTCTTAGAACAGAGATCCTCGTGAGGTGCTGACACTCTAGAGCTTCTGTGATTTGAACTTGCTTCCTCTTTTTTGCTTCTAGGAAGTTGTCTCTCTCTCTTTTTTTTTTTTTTTTTTCCTGAAATCGCGACGTCCTTGAGATAACCTCATCGGACTGCCCGGCCCCAGGTCATTCCGAATCATCTTATTCTATTCATCTGCTTTCGTGTCATCGGATTCGAACTCAGGTCTGCATTTCAACAGTTTGTGCGTGGGTATACCAACTGAGCTTCTCCCTGTTGTTTTCCTCTGCTTTTGTGCTTCTTTCCCCTCAACACCCCCTCCCCCCCTTCCTCCCCCCYCCCCCCTCCCCCACCCCTTGCTTCCTTGCATTCTAAAGGGCTTTCTGGGGAGGATATGCAACCGACATGCGCCAGAGGATCGCGACTACGCATCAGCTGCTATTACGGTGAGAAGCACGCTGCACAGCCAAGCCATGACATATAATTCATCGGCTTTTCAGTAAGACATATAATTCAATTGCTCCTTGGGAATGTTCAATCACAGTGGAAATTACCAAGATTAATAGGATTGAACCTCAGTAACATCCCTCAGTAACATCCCTCAGTAACATCCCTCAGTAACTTCACTGAGGGTTGTGAACTTGTGGTCAAGAAGGTGGAAGTCAAAAAGATTCATTTCCTTCAATCAAACTTATCAAGTTATATTCGCGTGTGTACGAGTTGGCATATTGTGAAGGCAAAAGAGTTGAAAAGACAGTAGAGGATCAGGCCTTACAGAAATCTGTAAAAAAATATATATATATATATATATATGTGATGGGGTGTGAACCGACAGTCTGTAGAGTTTTCCATCTGGTGTGGGTGAGTGATAGTCTACTTTGATTTTGGTTAAGGT